TTTGGGTCACATCCTCAAATTGCAAATAAATGTTATCATTTATCAACCTAACACATTACTCAATAAATCTTCTGCACCACTGTTCATACTTATCGGTGGTGTCATTTAATATTCCTTTCTGATTTAGAAAACTATTTCCTCTGGTGCCTGACCCCTTGTAATGGAAAACTACTGAAAACAGACAGTAGCTAATTCACAAATTTTATAATTTAGAGCTAAGCAGATCTGGGGACTGAAATGATCTAATATTCATTTTTCAGTGGTTGGAAATATTGCAGGCTTTTGAGATAAAAGTTTCATTTAAGGACATTCAGACTGTGCAAAATGCAGTAAGATCTTTTATATTAAGTAAAATCATGGAAATGATTACTCACTGCCCAGATAATGAGATCTATTTTCTCATTTATGCAAACAGAGAACTGTGGACACTCCCAACTGCAAACACAAAACCTCTCCACCTCACCATATGACATGCTGCATGGTGATTTGGGTGATTTCAGAATCTTGCAATCCCTGCCAGGAAAAGAATGAGGAAGGGGGAGCTGCCAAACACACCTGTAACAGCCTGCCTCCATCTCCATACAACCAGATGGGAAGCAGCTCTAACTGCCCCACGGGCAATTCTTGGTGGGTCCTTTCTTCTATCCCAATCTCATTCCCCACAAAATGCATCCTCTTAGTGTTCCCTGCAGACTTTTCTGCCTAGCAGATCCAGAGACCTTTCTCTGACACTTATCCATTCCAGAATTGAATTATCCAGATTCATCTTTTTCATCACAGACAAATAAGAACACAGGTATAGAGCCACTGGGACACATCTAAGAGGGACATCTTATGATCGACCTCTGTAAGCGGGCTTGTTTCTGTGCCTCAAGAGTGTGCTTATGGTGAGTGCCAGCCAATAAAGAAGTTATGAACTGCAGTGTCCTCTCTGTGCACTTGCTTTACAACACACTCCATAGCTGCATACTACACATAGGCACAAGACCACACTTTTCCACAAAGGTCCTTACTCACATTGCACCAAGCATCAGGTCTATTCACCAACCAAAGGTGAGCTGAGTGCACCAGTGCTTGCCTGTTATTTGTTCATGCGTGCATCTAACTCACTTCTTGCTTTTAATTCCATTTCTCTAGCTGTTTCTTCTCACTGCTATTTTCCCTATCTCCTGCCTCATCCCTGCTCTGATGATGCCCTTTCGTTGATCCAGGTCTCCTCTTTACCAGCATCATCACTCCTATTCTTTCTTCTCTATGGCTCCTAATATTGTCATCAGTTTTCTTATAACTACTTTCACCCCAGAACCCTTCCATTTCCTATGACCTCACTTGGTCTCTCTCCTTCATTTCCTTCCTTCCATTCATCTCATTCCTCACCCTTCATTATCTGAACAAGACCCTCTTGCTTACCCTCTATCTGCTGCCAGCACCAGCAATGTTGATCTCTGCTGAGCAGGAGTGAGCCTAAGACTGCAAAGATTTTCCCCTTTGGGAAATTTTTCTTACAAAGTTAGCAAAAATAACCTCTTTGATGCAGGACAGCTCTGCTGCCAAAATTTCTCGTAACTATAGCCGGAGATGAAATGCAAAACAATGTGGTTTAAATTATGCAATCAGAAGCAAATGTAAGTGCAGAGAAAGTTATAAGCAACTGAAAATTAGAAGTTGCTTATGGGAACAATTGGCAAACTCAACTTAAACATATCATATTTCTCATTATAGATATGGTTCCCATATCACTTATAAAGAAGTCTAGCTGTAAGGAAACTCTCCAGCATATGCTGCTTCACAATCCTCATGAGCTGGCCTTAACATGTTAAGTTTTATCCTATCTGATTTCACCAAGGCTGTCTGTAAATAGGTAGTGTTGCCATTTCAGATTTCCATATCAATAAAATTCAAATAAACATGCCAACACTTCAATTGCTCATTTGAACTGTAATTTTGATTGTATTTTCTGCCATGAGAGTCCTGAACGCTTAATGGTGTTGGGATATCCAAACAGGTACCTGCTGTGCAAATCTGAGAGGGAACTTTACGCTTGACTCTTATGGTACATTTTAATGTTTGTTTATATAATTTAATAAGCAGAGAAGTACTACAGATGGAATCTAGCAATGTGTAAATATCTCAGAAATAATACTCATAACATTTATGGCACAGGATAGTCATAACACATCAGCCACTATTAAAAACACATTTGCTTGAATTTTTGGGTAGCACTTCACACTGCTAAATGTCTTAAATACGTTTAGCCAACCATTTCTAATGTAACATGCAACATTAAAGTTCAAGTAAATGCGTTTGAAATGCCTGTTGACCATTTGAACCAGTTTAATAAACCATTCATGATAAGATATATTCACAGAAGTGTTGCATAAGTACTGGAATAATCAGCATTATTAGAATACTCAGCACTCCAACTAAAATAAATATCTTTACTTGGAATGTTAATATGCTGGAACTCAGCTGAGTTATAAAGTCTCTGCACTTTTGGTAAATATTTTGCTTTGTGTACCTGGTGTGTGTGTGTGTGTATTGTGTTTGCTTGCAAACACTTGAGCTGAATGTTTTTTGCTTGTATTTACATTTCCATAGCACCTCACCTGCAATGATAATGAACATTTGTTAAGCATCTTGAGGTACTTTGTCTTTGCTCCAAACCATTTCTTTTCACTTGCACATAAAGAGACCCTGTTTCCTTAACTAGCGCCATCTTAGCACTTAGAACAAGCTCGTGATTTATACCTTGGGCACTCATTGGCTTAATCATCTCTACTGGGGGCAACTTTTTAAGCAGTATCACCGGTGGTGAACACATAGGCTATTCCATAACGGTATCCATTTTCAAAAACAAAGGATCCACAGCGACAAGCAGTCACAATACACCCTTCTAGTTTTTGTTATTTCACCCTAGTTTTGTATTTACACAGCAGTAGCAAAGACATGTCCACAGGGATGTGAGCTTCATACAAATCCCCAGCCTGTTTATTCTGTGAAGATATATACTACACCTTTATTCCTTTGCTAAACCATTCTTCATTTAATTACCTCTTTGCACCACATATTAATTACACCCATGCACAGCCAATTTCCTCTCTTAGTGCTTTCTTCTCATTCTTCTCCCGTTCAATAGTGAAAAGAGCCCCAGACATTCCCTGCATATATCACTCCTCTTTCTACCACTGCTCCTGCAAACCCTGGTTTGCGAGCCAAGGAAGAGCCAGTTCCAGGAGAAAAAAATGCCAGCAATTTAACAAGACTTTGAGCCCTCGTCATCTGGATTTACTCTGCAGGTCTTTAAACTGGTATTGATCACGAGAAAACAACACTGAAATAGTAGAGTTCTTTGCAAATAAATAGGAACAGTAGAGAGGTTTTTCACCCATGCTTCCAAGTATCAAATGCTCCATCATGAAAGCCACTCTGGTTATAATTCCTCTTCTATCCTAAATTCTTTCTGCAGCTTGCTATTTTCAGTAAAACCGAATAAATAATTTCTGTGGGGTTTTGCTTTCAATGATACAGAGTAATGGCTGTAACTACCGTGAGGTGCCTGCTGGCCATGGTTATCACTTTTTGAAGAGCTGGTCAATCACTGAGGCTCAAATCACAAAAGTATGGATGGGAGGAGTAGGCTGGCCAGGGGAGCGGCCTGGTGGTTCACAAAGTGCCAAAAAAGGATTGGAGAGTGAGTGATATCAGCAGTGGCAAACTTCTTTATATTTCAAAAACTTAGGGCATCAGAAGCTTTAAAAACAAAATTTGGAAAGCCAGGCAAATTAACACAAGGAAATGATGCAAGATGCCAATAGTGTCAGTTAGTCTTGCAAAGACTTTTAATTTCCTCCCCCCGTGTTTCAAAATATTCATGCTGAGATCTGCCATTTTTAATTTTGCTTTTCTTGAGAACTATACACTTGGTTTTAAAAAAATTGCCCATAGAAATGAGCATGTATCACAAAATGATTCATTTTTAAGCTTTGGTTGCATGCACATTTGTACATCAAGAATGCATCAACGTAATACTGTTCTGAGACATGACCAAAGTATATTCTTCTCTCACTGGTTTTATGGCTGTAGAAGTCTGACTTGTATGAAGGTACTATAGATTTATTTGATTATATCTGAGAGCAAGATGTGCCCCGCGTAGTGTAGTGTTTTCCAACTGGGTTTTCAAGATTAAATATTCTGTAAAGATAAGATTCTGAAAAACACATCCTAATCAGTGTGCCATTGCCATGGATTTTATTGCACACATTAGTTGGCATTAGCAATCTGTTTTACTCTAAGCTCTACAGCACTTTGGACATCTTTAGAAGCTATTTCAGTGAAGTTTTGGTATAGCACTCAGGACGTTAAGCACATGTTCACCATTAACAATAATGGGAGTCACGTACATACTACTAATCATTACCAAGGTTTAATATTCTAAACCAAATTCAAGAGCATTGTGGAAAATATTGTGCTGAACGATTTTCTTTCATTCACACTTCTGTTTGGTCTCCAGACAGACTGAATATTCTGACTGTGTCAGTCTTTGCTTCTAAATTGGATACAAACCTACTCACATAATTAATCACTCCGAATGCTTATTGTACATCTTTCTTACTACTATGCAAGCAGATTTCACACAGCTTGTTGTTCATTATCAGATTGCATGAAAACAGCTGATTACTTTCCTTCTCATAAAATTACATCAACAGCAAAGCCAGCTTCTATTCTCAATGTATCTTTAGCCATGTGAAACATTTCAGGAGAGACTCATCAGGAAAAAAAAAAAAAATAGTATTTCCCTTTATCCAGCCTTCTATTATGAAGATCAAGGTCCATATGTTCAGAAATACCCAGAATTCCTGTCCGCATCGAGAGCAGAAATAAAACATTCATAATGCTTCTGAAATGACTTCTGTGTCTTCCCTTCCTCCTTCCCATAAAAATAATAACAATAATGGTAACAAATATATATATTTATAATATATTAAAAAGAAAACCTTTACCTTGTCCAGATATTGCTTTACTCTATAACTGAATCCTGAAGAATGCCTGTTTAGAGTTTTTCTTCAGCAATGGGACTGCCCAGAGTCCTCTGCATTCCTCTTGTCCAGACCCTGTGTGCTCTGAACAAGCCGTAGACAGTTCTTTCTTCTCAAAGAGAGGTGGATTCCCTTTCGATTCGTGCATTAATTGGAAAATAAGATAAAGCCACAGTTAGGCTTTTAAAGACAAATAGAGCCTAAATAGCTTCAAAAACATAAATTCACACTGTCAATATATATAGTTGAAATAAACTAGAAATGATGCTTAGTGGCTGTTATTTTATCTTTAAAGGATGCATGTGGGTTGCTCCAAAAGTAATGCCTTCTGTTAATTTCCATGAAAATTTCAACAGGTACAAAGAGCACAGTAACACTACTCAATAGAGTGAATTCTCAGATCAAAACAGTGTTTTTCGATATACTCACAAACTTTAGTGTTCATTCTCACCATGGGAGCCTTCATGTCATCCTTATAAAATTTTACATGGCCATCTGGAATGTGGCTTGTGTTTTATTTCACTGTCACCACTGTTGAAATGCACAACTCTCTGCTTCATTGCTCACATCCATTGGTTGGTTTCCATAAATGTTCAGAAAGCATCAATGTACGTCAGTAGTTTCCTGCATGGAGGAATTAAATCCCACACCTTTTCTCCATACGCACTTCCATATCAAAGGCTATTCTGTCAGAATGCTCCACTGCTGCCATTTGTCACACAGCAACAAAATGTCATAGAATATTAGCAATAAGGTTCAACCACTACTGCCATCCCACCGATATCCTCCTTTGACATCACTGTATCATCATCATAAAATAGGAGGCATTACTTTTGGAGCAGCTCCAATATAACGTTTTAGTTTTTCTATATTGCTTGCAGGTACATGTACAAGATTTTATCTTCCCTTTTGAGCTCCCATATTAGATATTGTGCTTCATATTAAATCTGAATTGTACTAATTGTAATTGCCCCTTTTTGTCTGATAAATTCCAGGAAAGATAAGAAGAGTGGCTTCAATTCTATAAGGAAATTAAGAGCTTTACTGGCAAAAGATTAACACTCTATTGACCCACTTTAGTGTTCTTTTCAAAACCAACATTAAAGGAGAATTCATGGTCTAAAATCATCCTAAATATCAAGCATTAGCCCATTTCTTACATAGGAAAATATTTCTACTCTTATTGAAAGTAATAGTAAACATGAAACAGAGAAAAGTTTGGTCAAGATACTCTAATTGGCTTGATTCATTTAAAATAAACGCAGAACTGCTGTCTCCCAGAACAGTAGATAAAAATCACCCTAGCTCTCCCTGCGATACTTTTGTTGACATGCACATACAGCTGGGCAGATAGATTTTATTCACTCCATATTTCGATAGGAAGGACTGCCAATCAAGCATTCAATTGTAGGAGTTGTATAATTTATGTTGGTAACAGTTGCTTAAGAGCTGCGGTTTCTTGTAAGAAGATTCCTAAGCTCAATTCTACCACACAGTGTAATTACAAATTCTTGTTTCTTACCATACTGCTTTTGTTTGAAAAACAGAATGTCTGAGCAGTTAATATGCTTATTTGCATATGGTTATGCTACAGCACACACCAGCAACTCTGTTCCCTTATGTAATTATATCAGCTTTTTCCTACGGCTTACTTCTTTGTCTCCTTATGCCTTCACCAGCACTAAACTTCTCTACAGGAGTTTCTACATATTTTCCTTAGCCCAAGCAATACTTAAAAGTTTAATCAAACTGAGTTGAGCAGTTGGCCCAGGTGAACCTAATGAGGTTCGACAAGTCCAAATGCAAAGTCTTGCACCTGGGTTGAGGCAATTACCCATTACCAAGAAAAGCACAGCCCTGCTGAAAAAGACCTGGGGGGGAGGGGATGGGAAGCTGGACATGAGCCAGCAATGTGCCTTCGAAGCCCAGAAAGCCAAACATATCCTGGGCTGCATCAAAAGAAGCATGGCCAGCAGGGCAAGGGAGGTGATCCTGCTCCTCTGCTCTGTGCTGGTGAGACCTCACCTGGAGTACAGCATCCTCAGTACAGGAGAGACATAGACCTGTTGGATTGCATCCAGAGGAGTGTGACAAAAATGGTGCAAGGGATGCAATGCTTCTCCTGTGAGGAGAGGCTGAGATCTGGGGCTGTGTAGCCTGCAGAAGAGAAGGCTGAGAGCTGACCTGACAGTGGCCTTTCAGCATCAAAAGGGGAGCTACAGAAAAGAAGGGGACCGAGTCTTTAGCAGGGTCTGTGGTGACAGAACAAGGGGAAATGGCTTCCAGCTCAAAGAGGGGAGATTTAGGTTGGATATAAGGAAAAAAATCTTCTACAGTGAGGGTGGTGAGGCACTGGAACAGGTTGCATAGAGATGTGGTTGATGCCCTGTTCCTGGATACTTTCAAGGCAAGGCTGGATCAGACCCTGGGCAACATGATGTAGCTGTGCTTGTTCCTGTTTGCTCCAGGGGAGTTGGAATAGATAGTCTTCAAAGGTCCCATCCAACTCCAAGGAGTCTATGATTATAAATTAAATCATGCATCCTTTGTCATGAGTTTGGTTACACCTGAACTATAGAGACAAATAACTATTTCTATTATAATTTTGAACCACTTTGGGGATGAAATCATCATACACACCTGCAGAAATCTGTTGACTTAACGGGGTTTGCATGTGTGGATGTGAAAAAAGAAAACAACAGGAACACTGAATTGGTACTGAAATAGCACTCTTGATAAACTAGCTCACTCTTCTGCTGGGATGAAGCAGTAGCACAAAACCAATTGCAATCACATACTTAAAACAGAGAGCCCTCAGTTATTCTCCCAGAGGTTGTCTTTAGCTGTTAGTAAATCTGCTGGGAAGGTAACTCCCTCTGCTCTCTCATAGTATCTCACAAACTTTTCATTTTCTTAATAAGTGTTTCCCTCTTAATTTTTTTTTTTTTTTAAAGGGGAGGAACCTCATCAACTTTGTACTGCCTTGGTTTGTCACATCTGTGTTTAAGCACTTTCTGCTAACACTTAGATCTTCACTTACAGAAATAGAAATGGGAAATTTTCAATTAGCCTCTATCATATCTATCACAGCAACTTTTCTGTCATCACTGCTTTTAGACACTTGTACTAGATAAGTGTATAATCAAAGAATATTAGGATGATATAATCACAAAATAAACAAGAGAGTTAGGCAAAGCAGACTATGATAACAAAAGAGAATAAATAGAAGGCTTACCCCTATCCTGGGCTCACTCACAAAACACCAGCAGAGGTGATCTCCAGAAGAAATCCTTCCCCCCAGTAGCCAGCTCTTAAATAGGTCTTGTGGCAGAACAGGAGAATTGCCTTCACCTGTGCTCCTCTGGCTGACTTATTGCTCACCTCAGGTGATCAATCAGAGGTTCAGGCCGTAACTCAGCAGTTCCCATACAATAAGGAAAAATAGATCTTCACTGTTAATTTAATGCAGCCTTTGAAATCTATGAGATGCGGATATATTTTCATTTGTACCATATTTTCATCGATAAAATACTAGGTTTTTTTTTCAAATTATATGCAAGTTCTGTCCATGCAAACAAGCATTATTTTGCTTTCCTACAAAACTAGGATGTAAAAGAAGAAAATTCTTTGCCTTCAGAAAATTATGCAAGAAAACTACTTTCATCTTACATCAAAACAAGACAATCACTATGTTGCAGCAAAAGACATAGTAAAAGTGTTTTTAATTACTCCCATGATTCTATGTGATGAAGGTAAAATTACAGCTTCAGATTTTTGGTAGGAAGGAATTATATCTTGTAGCATCTACTCAGTGCTTCAGGAAATGCAGGATGTTTCCATTATAAATGGATTTGAGATTTCAGCCTTTTCTTGCCTTTCTCTGCCTCCTACATTCTGTGGCAAACAACATTCTCTAACAAATACCTCCTCTGGCCCAGATTGCAGCACTTGAATTAGTGGAGCTCACTACATTTCTGGAGGGATGCTCAGTCTGGAGGCAACACTGATTTGTCCTTCTGCCTTCTGACTGTGTCAGAAGCAAAGTCTGGATCAAACATCCTCAAAACCAAACACTCTTGTGACGGAAGAACAGATGGATGTCCACAATTTAAAATCTCTCTGGAATTTTACTGGGATATCCAGCTGCATTTCATTTTTTTTTTTCCTATAGATGTTGCAGTTTTATTAAAGAGTTAGATTAAAAAGTATCATCTCACTGAAGAAACCAAAAATTCTAATGAGTTTTGTGGTCAGGTATAATTATATTAGCTTTTCCTAAAACTGGATACGTTCAAATTCTCATCTAATTACATTTTCAAAATGAATCATGGTATTGAAAGGTCATGGTATGATAGCCAGCGTATTTTGTTTTCTTCTGGAAAGGGAACAAGTATAATTTCAATGGAAATGGTTTGAGAGTATGCTTGATAATTTGTAATTAACTCTCCAGGGTGCTGTGAGGCCTAATTAATTACTTATTGGAAAGCATTTGGAGATCTTTGGATGAAAGTTGCTACAGTAATGCCAAGAATTGCTGTTATTGTTATTGCTAGGTGTTTTCCATCCCCAAATGCGTTTAGCAGGAAAATGTACCTTTATTACTTTACACAATCTTACAAACAAGACTAATCTGATGAAAAGCAGCATTTAAAATCTGAGAATAATTTTATCTGCAGTGGAAAACTGAATATGTTTATTCTTAAAATGTGAACATAACTTATGAATAAACCAAATACATAAATTGCACTATGAAGTTCCACAGTAATAACACATTTATATTCTCCATCTACAGAGAAGCGAGAGCATCTGTTTGTAGAATTTTTCTTCTGTTATGAAACTGTCTTAAGTGTTAGGAAACCACTGTATCATGACTGGTGATTTTTACACCCAGCATTTGCTCTGAAGCCTATCAAAAAGAACAAGCCGCATAAATGCAATTAACTCAAATTAATGTAATAATGGAGAGTCAAAAATATATTAAGATTCCTAGCCAAATTCGAATGATACCTCACTGAAAAACATTGAGAAGCCAATTCACTTCAATGGGTGGAACTCGTCTGTAAGAAAGAGAAATGATAGTCCATCTCCCAAAAGTCACAAAATGGCAGCTTGGAATAAAACAAAGAACTTGCTAGCTAAGGCTAAAGCATTTAGACACATTCATATTCAGTAATCCCTAATCTTATCTGCAGGTTTATCACAAGTATTGAAAGCCCTTGAAAATACAAGTTGTAAAGGAAATATTCCTGAGGTTTCCTCTCTGCAAAGAGCTAACAACCAAGAAGTTAAAGCAGGAGGCTTTGTTGCACTCTGCTTAGACAAAGCAAAGGTAAGATTTGAAGTGAGTGTCTTCCAAATGCAGATCTACTCAGCAGGAATCCTGCTGGTGTTATAAGAGGGTGGTAAAAATTGACACCAATATGCATGTGATCTATGGTACTCATAATAAATATATACTGAAATACCGTTTACTAATAGTAAACAGTATATGTAATCATAAAACCATGACATAAGTCTTCATGTTTTCCCCAGAAGAAAACAGATCTTAAAATTTATTGCTTTTAATATTTTCCCCATATAGTAATACATTTATGAATAAATCTCAACATGTGCACGAGATAAATATACAAACCTTTAGATTTTTTTCTTGCAATGGAGTTGAATGCAGAGTTCCCTCAAGCATTAGCTGTCTCTAACAAGCAGGCTGCCATGTCTCTCTGTTTACCTTGTCAGCAGTGTTCATTTCTGTTATCACTCTTCTGGAAGAACAAAGTTTCTAGATATGCCTCAAAGGTGAACATAATTATGCTGTTTACATTGTTATTCCTACAGGGATCATAAAATAGTACTTAGAACAATGTTTACAGTCATCAGTGAAGCAGAAATCACTCTGTACATACCAGAAATGCAGAAAACAATCCCCCTCACTAACTAATTACAGATGGGACTGCACTGCATAAAGATCTCCCATCTTGCCTGTGATCTAGGTTCTGGGCTCTTCGATAGCCTGAAGCGCCCAGCAATTATGCTGTCCATCAAATCAGAATTTCTCTAAGGTATTTTCTTTTCACTGGGGCCCTGCAGACAATTTGACTTGCCAATTTTTAAATTATATTCAGAGCAAGGCAGCAAATAAACCAAATGTAATGAAGCACAATTTAATGTGCCAACTAAGATGTACCATTCTTCCATGGGAAACTTTTTTCTCACTGTGCCTTGTTTCATTTAATGTATACTGTTAGGCCTTGGGACAAAGTTAACTGTAGCTCATAGAAGTGTTTCCCTTACCTTCCATTGTTTTGGGGTCAGATGTGCATCGCACAGCAGTATGGTTCACTGATGGCAGACACTGAGCAAGGATCCTGCAGTACTACTGGTCCTCCCCTCCGGCCTCTGAGACACCAATGCACGTGTGTATTGAGAACCAGCAACACTTCTGAAAGCTAATTCTGTAAAATGTAGAAAAAGTACTGATTTAAGACAACATAGCAAAGATGTGCCTTGCTCATAGATGATCACTCACAGGCAGTTGGGTGTTATTACAAAAATTGGTCTTCTCCTTATTTTCTGATTGTTAATCACCAGTCACTCTGTTCTGTTCAAGCTAAGGTAGCTGTGATGTGATCACGTATTCACATTCTTCCTATTGCTATATTAAGTTTTTTTCTGGTTGATACTTTGCATTCATCATGTGCTCACTTGGTAGTTAGCTCTCCAGGCTGTTTGCTGGAGGGAGCAGGGGATGCATCAGTCCCATCCCATTTGTGGGAAAGGCAGAAATAGAAGTTCAAGCTAATCAGCCAGCATCATCAAATATGCATCATAACAGCCTGAAAACAATCACTTTACAGACAGGAAAAATAATAAAAGAGAATAGGAAATAGAAAACAACAACATTTTTTGAAGGAGTTCCTGGACCTCGTTGACCCAGCAGTGTTAGTTTTGAAAGTAGTTATACTGATATAAGCCCCCTGGTTCAGCTGGACAGCATAGCATCTAGTGAGCCCTGCAGGACAGCCATGTTGTGGTGCTGTCCCATCATGAATACCTGTGGGTCTCCTAAAAACCTCAATGATGAGCCCAGGGTGGGGGCAGAGAGAAGCAGAGCTACTTGGTAGCAGCGTGAGATACACTTAGGTGCTCTGTAATTAAGACTTTGGACTTAAGTCACACTTTAGAAATCCTGGTCCAGAGACCAAACAGTTTCATGGGGTTTTCAATCATTTGACTTCTTTTCTGTCATCTGGCTCAGGATGAGAGCAGGGGAAGCCACTAAGAACATAGCCATGGATAACAGCGAGGTCAGAGATTACGTCAAACTGTGAAGTTTGTTCTTAACACAGTGCTTCCAGCTGCAAAACTCAGGTCAAATCTTGGGTTACTGCTGTCACATTCATTTAGGAGGTGACAACCATGGAAGAGAGGACAGGAGATTCCACTAGAGGTATACTACACACATCATCATTTTCACAGCCTGTCTCTTGGATCCTGATCTTTTTGGACTTAATTTCCAGCACGTTAAAACAAATTCCAAAAAGAAAGAGATATTTTTCAATCACTCACCAGACTGAAATAAGACAATTTCACATGATTTTCTGCATTTTTTCACCATGTATGCAGCATATTGATTTTTTTTTTTTTCCTCCATCATTCACTGTATTCTACATTTGTACTATTAAAACTAAGAGTGGAGTCTGTCTTGGCTACCAAACTATTTACAGTTCCACATTGAAGAACTTCTGAGATCTCAAATGCATCAGTTTTTCAACTGTGATCAGATGATAAAAAGGAAGTTTTGGTGTGCTTATTTTTCCAGGATCCAATTCATATTATCCTCTGGAAACATGGAAATACTTAGAACTCTGCACTAAACCTTAAATATAAGAAAAAAAACAAACCAGAAAAACACCAAAGTTATTTCTGATCAAATTTGTTGGCATGTATGAATGTTTTCATTATTTCTTCTTCATCTTAGACTAAATTCTCTAAGTTCAATAGTTGATAGAGAGAAAAAAAAGAGAAAATGCTCACTATTTTTCAGACATGAGAAGAAAATAGATGAGGTAAAGTGTCATGGAATTCATTCCTGTGCACTAGTTGAGCAGAACCCATTGCTATAGCTGACTCTTGATGCTGTCAGTTGTCTTCAGAGAGCCATTTGCAGGCAGCGAATATGACTTTATGGTAAAAATCACTGCCCAAAGAAAAACTGATCACATCTTATGGCATGGCTTCTAGAGAAAGAAAAGTGCTTGGAAAATCAAGAACCAGTCACCTTTCAGCTTGACGTAATTCCCTGGGCTGTGTTTGTAAGTTACTGCCTTTTCAGTCCCCAGGATAAAAATTTTACAGTTGTCATCCCTTATCTCAACTATTTCTTGCTTCTTTTTCTTTTTAACCTTCAAATTGCTGCCAGAATTCTTGCACCCTTCATACTGATCATGCTGCATTCTCTTGCAGACATCACTACTCCCTAATGATTGTTGCCTTCCCTTCCCTTCCCTTCCCTTCCCTTCCCTTCCCTTCCCTTCCCTCTTCCGCCTTCATTTTTTGTTGAGACCAGGAGGGAATCTGAGTCAATGCACCCCACTTTCCATAAGTCATGCCTAGCATCTGTATGCCAGAAAGTGATAGAAATGCTGAGTTTGGAAGGGAACTTAAAGATTACCTAGTTAAAGTCCCTTCCATGAACAGGATTGCCACCCATTAGATCAGGCTGTTCAGTCACACAGTCTTGATATAAAAGTCAAAAGTCTTGTTAAAATCAGATTTATAATTTCCATTGCAGTTTTCAATATCTTTTTTTTCTTTTTTTTTTTTTCTTAGTAACTCCTTAAGTTTCCTTACTGTGATCATATTCTAATTTTTATGTGGATAAATTCATGCACAGATTCTCAGGTAGACCAGGAGAACTACAATATATTCAAGAAATCTGTTTCTAGGAAGCTCTAAATTACATTAGCAATACATTGTAGCAATAACAATCAAGTCTGGCTCATTTCCTTGGCATTAATGACTAACTGGGAGAGCTGATGGCCTCAAGAAGTAGTCATTATTTTATTAGGGATTTTTATTTTGTTTTTAATTAGAAAACTGTTAGAAAAAAAGTTCTTCTCCGTGTTTAAGACTAATGACAGAATCACAGGAGAAAAAGTCCAATCACTCTGAACAAGTAAAAAGTCTCTTTTAAATATTTAATAATCCTTGGTTAATCCTGTAGCACACCAGTGGTTTCTGCTGACTTCATCTTTTCTCCAAGTGTTTGCATTTGTCTGATCCCAAAGGGATTGCTGTTGATGTTTTGAAAAATGAAGCATGCAGATTTTAAACAACCCTGATAAATAGATTGTACACTTTTGGATAATGCTTTTCAAAAAGATTACTTGTGATAGGTAGCTCTTTCTGACTTTGAGTTTGTTGGCTAGGATGTACTGAAAATGGGTGAGGAAGAGGAAGACTGGAAAGCTACAAATGCCTTTAACATACTGAATAAACAGAAGAGACAGATTTGCAAACCAATCCACTTAGCCTCTCTTAACAGAAAAAAGATTGGAATAAATCATTAAATAAATTACTTTCAAACAACTGGAACTTAATAGGGGAATGGGTAGGAGATGAAACCACATCATTAAAAAACTGCATCAGAGAAAACTGTTTTCTTTTATAACAAGGCCAGTATTCAAATTCAAAAGGATCTCAATGAGTTGTGGAACTGAACCAGGAGAAAAATATAAAATTAAATGAAACATAAAATAAAATAATGGTGCTATGGTGATATTCAAAAGGAACAAACTTCAAGTTTAACAGGGAACAATCAAATGCACAAATCTTAAAAAACTCTCGTATGCAGGTGTGTAGACACGGCCAGCATCCTCGTTCATGTGGAAAGAAGAGGCACGGTACTAAATGACAAGGTAGCACAGAAAGTGAATTCATAGATAGAGGATGAAAATGTTGAAGAACAGTCTGAGCTACTCAGGACACATTTTTCTACCTGTGACTGGCCAGGAAAAGTGGTGCACAAAGTTCGCATTGATTTGATGCCCATTTTCCCATTTTTAAAACAACTTACAAATTATCATGATCTGCAGGCTCTGTCTTTAAGATGTGTTATTTGTAACTTTAAAAGTTATAGCTGAATGGGATTAGTGACCGTGACAATGTTTTCTGTTGAGGAGACTCTTGATGACTCTGCTTTTGTTAACTTACTTGTCTTTGCTTTGTGAAATTATGTGCTATTAAATCACCACGTCCTGTAAATCCTCTGCAGTAATAACTACATGTAACAGCCCTTCTGTCTAGTCAGTTGAGATTTGACAGCCTCTGTTTGCTAAACGTATCATTTCACTGAGACTTTGGAACACACTTTTCACATTTCTCCATTCTCATTATCGAGCTAAGGTCCTCATAACATATGGTCCTATTTTCCTAATCGCATTCACTGTTACACGTCAAACCACGCTAATCTTTCAAACCGTCAGGCTAATCAGTACAAAATGCATGGCCACTGTTTGCACACATGCTGGTAACGAGGTGGGAACAGGACCTACACAAATCAGAAAATGCCACTGAATCCCAGCTGGGTAGTTTATTTCTCCTTTGCTTTCAAAGATGATCTGAAATGCATCTTCTTTCTCATTTACATGTTCAGAGTCATTTTCCCAGCAGATTGCTACTAACACTAGTGGCTGATGTCCTATCCAGCCAGACCTTCACCATAACGTAGGGCTTTGGCTAATGATTTCCATGAGACAGATCTTAAGGTGAATGACTAAAATTGTTCAGGATGTTATTACTATTCACAAGAAAGTACAACATATCATTTAACCGCCTCTAAGGACGCAACAATGTAGAGACAGTGTGGTAATTACCACTCAGTTTAGGTTTCTTATTTGGTAAAAATAACAGGTAACACACAGACTGTAATTTACTTTTCATACCTCTGACATAATCAGAGCAAGTCTGATGATTCCCCCTAAAGCAGCTTAGCTGGGAACGAGCAGAGGGAAGTGAAGGGATGGGTTAATTTGCGTTTTTCAAGGTACAATTTTACACTATAACAAAGCCAAAGAAAACCCTACACTTGCATTGTAAAAATCTTTGATTCTGGGGCCAATTGAAATATCATATTCAATTCCATCAAAGCTGCACTAATTCAATAGATCTGAACTGAATTCTAGCTTTTCTTTAGTAATAGTCAATGAATTTCCCCTAATCTTGAATATCAAAAACCTTAAGTGTGAGCCATTAGCACTCTCCTGAAGATGCTGAAATAGCTAGAAACTTTGATTTAACCAAGTAAGTTTCAACAACTAAATGCAGAATGCACACACACAAGAAAAGAAGACTCACTGGGCCATTCAGCAATTATATGTTGACAAAATTTTTTCTCATTCACTTTTGAAATCATTTTGAGTCCCCCAATCCAGTAGGTGAGCAGAAGCTTCAT